AAGGCCAAGATGAAGCTTCTTTGAGATGGAGGAGATGTGAGAATAAATCACTATCACACTCTCCCACAGTCACCACGCCATCTGATACTTGTGTTAATTAATGTGTAATGAGAGACGCTGATGTGCGCATTTTAAATGAATGACTTTTCTTAAATGACTCTAAGGGAATTCTCAGACACTTTTTGAGGAAGCAACTTCTGTGCTCATCACTTCTGTACTGAGTCCTTTAACTTGTCAGTGCCATGACCTTCATAAAGTTTCTTATTGAGGCTGCAGTTATTTTCTGCAATTAAATATGCAGAACAATCACTGTGAGATGCACTGTGGTATTTTTGTGCGTGTGTGTGCTCAGGCGCTCATGCACATGCTTCCCTGGATATGCAGGGTGACTCTCTTGTTCTCAGCAAGGGCTCCCCCAGCATCTGTCCGATTCTGTGAGCCCCGCAGCGGCGTTTCAACAACAATTTGTTGTAGGGGCAAACATGCGCTCCATCGCTGCGCACTCTCTATGCCCTGCTACAAGCGGCCTGGAAGACCAAGGAAAGCAAAGAGACGTTCAGCTTTGCTAGCTTTCATGTCATTTCTATTTCCAGATTTACACTGCTCGGCCTCAGGGCTCGCCTTGAGATGGATGCTGCTCCCATCCTCTCTGGCTTATCGCTACCCCTCACTCAGTTCTATCCAAATCCCTGCCTTTCTCTACCAAACCTGTCTCTCTTTGCTTACCTCCATCTTCCTGCCCATTTGCTATTCATTGCTCCTGGCGACTCCCTTTCTGGTTCACTATATTATGTTTATGTGGTGCGCTTTCCATTTCTTTATCTCTGTTATCCATTACAGGCTCCCCCAGCCTACTCCTTCTATCTCACTGCGAGATGATTGCACCAATGCATTTAAAGAAGATTGTGTACTGTTACATTGCACTGTTTGCCACTTTGCCACCTCTCTGCTATTTCAAAAATCAATTACCCATCAAATAAAACGATAAACAGTAAAAGCATCTCTGTGCTGCTCTTTTCACATCTGTGCCAAATTGTTTAAAATCACTCTGATGGGAAATAAAAACACTGGAGGCGTAAAAGAGCTACGAGGATGGTGCTGTTTCTGTAGATCTAATTATCGGACACTGGGATAAGCAAACGCTACTCTATAAATGCCACAATAACGTGTTCGCTGTCAGGCCGAGTGCCGATCTCTCACTAGACAATTCAAACCAAGGAACCAAATGTGGAGACAGTGAAGCAAGTAATTATGGGTAAGGAGGAAGATGAGTTGAATGGAGGAAGAGCTACAGGAGAGAAAGTAAAGACGGAGATGCTGTGCTCAGGTGGCTTAGAGCGGATATTGTATGCCTTATCTGTCACCTGCAGGTCTCTGCTTATTATAGAGAGGCAAAGTCAGAGCAGAATGTAAGGTGAGTATGTGCGTGTGTGTTTGTGTGTGTGTCAGAGTGCATACAGGAAAGAAATGCAAAGAGTCAAACTGCAGCAATGCCTTCACTCCACAGAGGGTGATAATAAAAAATAAATAACTAAAAAAGAACAACAACAACAACAACAACAACAGCAAAAAACAAAACTGAGCAGCTCTTCCCTCATCGGTTCTGAAGGTCACAACGTCACGACTCACAGCTTCTCGACACTTGTACCTTGCGTGGCACTACATACGTTTTTCTGCAGCAAAATAAGCGGGAGAACATTTAGGTCATTCGCGCTCCATACATACAAATACTGCTGTAAAATCAGTGCTGACAGCGAGTCTTTCGAAATATAACACAGCTTCCGAACACTGTGTAAGGTTAGAAGTAGGTGCACTGGCACATTGCTGTGGAAGCTGAATTGAAAACATGCAAACTACTCTGCTAGATCATTGAAATCCAGGCATTTTTATGATAAGAAAAGTTGGTACTTTATCATTAGACACCTGAAAACACTTTAGAGATGGAGGCAGTTTGAGAAGCCTCTCAGTCAACCATAGCAGGGTTTTTAATGAAATCGCTGCAAGGCAGAACTTTTTCTCTTTGTAGGAAATGGAGTATAATAATTGTACTGGCAATATTATGTATCGTAAAGCACTCCTTAGATCTTAACTCAACCCATGAGGTGCATAAACATTTTATATAATCTATGAGTTGTAACAGATTGAGAATGTTATTTTTTCATTATCACTGAATGCTACTGTATGTCTACCTTGATTGCTAACTGTATTGAACATAAGCAAACATTTTTCAAATGTATCCAATATTAGGTTTTCACAATGGTGAGCTACTCAGTCGTTTCAATTCTTCATAATGTATATCCAGGATTTGACTGCAGTCTGAGATCTAATGCCTCAGACGCCATAATGAGACACAACTACATTCTGCCAGCCAGCACCGGAGTTGGTATTGTTCACTTGTCAACAAGGAAATAGAGTGCAATGGACACAGAGATCAATCAATATTTCTGCATCACTATACAGTTCTATTCAGCATTCTGTGGCACTGCACTGAGTTGTGGAGTCTGAAAAGGATGGGCTTGTGATGATAGATGGACTCTTTTACTGCCTGTCTCTCTCGAAAACACACACAGGTAAAAATGCTAATTTCTACTAAATCAGCTTCACTAATTAGGCAGAATAAGAAAAAAATGATTGAGTAATGTTAGCATGTTAAATTTAGATAGCAGCCTAATTTATATTAAGCAGAATAATTATCTCCTGCAACCATTATCCAACCTGTGGCAGATCAGAGGCATTTTCCACAGCCGAGGAGAAACTGAACGGTTTTATTTTATTTCAGAGAATAAATCTTGTTGAAAAGTTTCGCCAAGACCTACTGTGTTTATATTCTGAAATCTAATGTGCGACTGCTGCAGAACTCCTTCCCTGTTTATCAGACATGTTACGCTTCTTGAGTCTGGATCAAGTTTCTGCTGACTTTGCCTATCTCAGTATTGGTAATAACATTACTGTCTTGCGGGCTATAGATGCTGACAGCTTATCGTTGACTTTTCTCCCGCACTTAGCCTGTTTTCCATTTTTTTTATTTCTGACACAATTTTTTTACAGTGGAGTAAATGAATGTGACAGCAGCACCTCGACATAAGGATAGTGATACACAGGAATTTCTTCTGACAAAATAAAAAAAAACACTGACAGTGGTCCATATTTGGTTGCGTGGGGTTATATACACACCAACGTTGGTCTGGCAGGAATCATGTTGGCCTGCCAGTGGAAGTACAGCTGAAGAGTTGACAGAGGCCGACTGTTGTGCCATAGTGGCAGCAGCTGCCGGTGAGAAGTGAAGCTGCCAGTGGAATATGAATGGTATGCCAGATGTAAGTGGCACCTTGCAGTGAATAAGACATTCTATACCAGAAGACATCAGACTCACTGTCAGGGATGACACTGCTGCTATTTGTGTTAAAATGCAAAGTCAGCACAATGTCATCAATATTATATTTCACAACATTACACTAAGGATGCCATGGTGTATTTTTCTGTGTTAAATAGTTATAGTGAGGAATGTTCTTAACAGCTGGGTGAACAAAATCACAGCACCACATTAACCATACAGTTTACTCTGTCAGAGGCTTTGCTTCATATCTTTATGAAGCACAGACTGCAGCGTAGATTTCCTAAGTGACTCTTTCAAAAATATCAGAATATGTGACATATTGAGTGACAGAATCTTCCAACTGCTCTATCATCATTTTATCCAGTTTAATAGAAAAGCTATACTGTATCCACAAGCTTCCACCTGTTCTGAAATATGCTGTAAAGTTCACTGCCAATATTTTAGAAAATTATGGCATGAGTAAATTTAATAAACTCCAGTGTGTCGATGTTGTTAATTAACTCTGAAGGAAGTGAAAGGAGATAAATATTACTATTAAAAGACGCATTTTAACTGTGAGAGAAAACGTATCCTCATCCAGCATAATTTGTGTCTGTGTAGCTATGTCTGACAGACTGAATCACAGTACGTTCTACTCTGTTCTACAGAGTCTACCATATTGAACTGTCATGTTTCTACAGTAGACCAGAAGAAACAAACCAAACACTGACCCTAGATAGGGCTTTTCACATTTTTTGCGAGTTTCATGGACACTGTTGTTGAAAGACTAATCTGTATTAAATCTGCAAGTTCACTGCTAGATGCCACTAAATACTACACATTGATCCTTTAAGCTTAAATCATGATTGTCTCATGCAGTGAACCTTAGACACAATTTTCAACATTTGTATAATATACTTTAAAAGTGTAGTATATGTAAGAAATGATGAACACAGATATCAATACAAATATTGTCAGTTTTTGTTGTACAGCTGCAGACTGTAATAAAGTAGACAGCCTGTAATTCACATCCGTTAGATCAGCACATTCTCTGCACATATTATCTACTTCTGTAAAGGGAATGCACATTTCACTTACTGTACAATGTTAAATCACACGCAAAAGCATTTACACTTTCTGACATGATATAGATCTCATATATATTTATGTAAGGTATAACAGTTTTATATTCTTATATCTTTTTAATTTGGTACTTATTGCATACATATATGCACGGAACACATACATCATGCTCCAAATACTTGCATTGTCACATTTTAGTTAAAATCTAGGTTCGGCTGCCTCTATTAAGCACACCCTGCTAATAGAAAAAAGTGATACTACTTTATAAGTTCTCATTGAAGCTTTTGTGATCGATTTAGCTAATTATTTCACATTTTGCTGCTGCAGCAATTTAATGTGCTCACAGGGGTAATTACAATTTGGTGAAATGTGTCAATTAACCAACCAAAACCCCAATAAAAACTGTTTCAAATGTGTGAGTTAAAGGCTCATCAGAGGGATCAGAAATGTATCTGATCTGCTACAATCCAATGTCTTCATCAGCATCAACCTTGCCCTATGTTTGATTCCCAGTCTCAGCCTAAGATAGATAGACATTTCCAGTTTAAAAAAAAACGTCATCTTTCTTTTCTGCATACATGCCCGTCTCTTTATGTCTTACCTGCTGTAGTTAGGCAGAGCTCCTCGTCACTGTTGTCCTGACAGTTGTCCTGGCCGTTACACAAGAAGCTGCGATCTACACAGTGGCCATTTCGACACTTGAAGCGAGCTTCCGAGCAAACCAATGGGTTGCCTGCTGGGGTTGAGTCAGAGCAGAAGTTCAAGGGTCAAGTGTTAGAACAGGATTACAGTTACCTGACAAACAGGAGCAACTGTGTGAGTGACAAACATTGAGAGCATAAAAAAATATTTAAAAGCTAATTAAAATTCAATGTTGTAGTTGCAGTTTGTGTAATTTATTTTTTGTGTGTACTTGTTGATCCCATCCCAACCCTTTGATAGGATTAAATATAAAAGACAAAAATTGGTATTACATTTTCACAGGGATTTAAAAGAAGAAATTAAACATTAAAAAGAGTTAGTAAAACATTTGATCTGAGGAGTCTGATAAAAATCAAACTGAAAATAAATAAATAAAAGTATTAAAAAAAGATTATAAATCCTACCCAGCACTACCACTTCCTTTTAGCACATGTTCTGGTTTTTGTCTTTGTTCTAGCTTTTGCAAAATGAGGCAGAATTATCTTGTGAGAAGATCCAGACAATTACACAGTGGTGACGCAGTATGTGATGGGAGCAGGGAGCAAAGCTCCATTTAAATGGCTAGATTAGATTTGTGAGCGTAGGGCCCTGCAGGCAAGGAACACTGCTTCTGACAATGGTGAGTGATTGGCTTGATGCATGTTCCCCATTGGGAAAGCAGGGATGGGGTCATGTAAGGATAAACCATATGTCTGTTTAATATAGACTATGCATGGATGTTCCCCTTGTCCTTTAGTTCAACTCATGGGTATTAACCCATCTAAAAGGCAAGGCTAGACCCAAAGGTGCAGAGTCAGGAGTTACAAGCAATGCAAACAACTGAAACTTTTCTGAAAAGGGAAATAGAATTTGCTACATTTGCCATTTGTACCTTGTCACCACTATTATTACCTGTTCTAAACGCAGGGTTTAATAGTGAGTGGAGGGGACTGCAACAGCACAGAATTGCGTTATTTATAGAACGATATCCTCTGAAAGGAGGGACATAAAGAATATCCACTTCAGACTTTGTGAAACAAAAAGCAGAGCAATTCTATTGTGAATCTCCACCTACCTGCATAACCAGTTCTAAAAAAAAACAAACAGTTACAAACCTTTGGTTTTAAAAATCAATCGTCTAACCTCCAAAGATGGAGGTTCCGTTTTGTAAACAAGGTATTCTCTTTTTTTTGTTCACAATGGAATACCATGAAAAACTGAGTCTTGTATTTCTACCTCAGTTTTATATTGTTCTAAAATATATTCCTTAGCCTTGCCTATCATTGTCCCACCTGCTGTGCATTGCATTTCATATAGCCTGTCAATCAATTATTCACAGCATAAGTAAGTTGCATCACTTTTGAGTTGCTCATGAGAAGTTCAGGACTGCAAGTGAGCTGTAGCTGAGTTAAAACACACAACCCACCAGATGCTATATGACCAGTAGAGTATCTGCAGTATTAACTGTTATGACTGAGTAACAGTAAATCATTGAACAGACCATGACTTCTGTTGGCCAATGCGTGAGACACATTTCTAAGGTTTGATTTTGTTGTTGAGACTCACTGCAGTTGTCCTCGTCACTCCCGTCGGGACAGTCGCTGAAGCCGTTGCAGCGGAAGCGTCCGATGATGCAGTGGACGCCATTAGCGCAGGCGAAGAACGTAGGGGCACACTTTGACTTGACCTTAGCTAAGGACAGACGGAGGGTTTTGGGGAAGTGGTGGAAAAAAGAACAATGGATTAGTCTGGGTGATGGTGCAGCAATTTTCAATGGATCACATTTTCATGACAGAATCGACCTTGACGGTGAATGCACGCACCAATAAGGCCCGGCTACGTTTTCTTTCCCTTATTTTCTGTCATATATGTTACACCGTCAGATATTTCTATTAACCATAGCCATTGCTTCAGATAATTAGGTAAAATATGTAAAAGTAATCACTGTGACCTCACTGAAAGTATTGTTTTAAGCAGCAAGTTGACATTGGCTCATTGTGGATTTCTTTATATAATCATTTGCTCTAACCACAAAGTAAAGGGACACACCCACCCACCAGCCTTATAAGTTATTCAACTGCTCTGCCGTGGACTACTCTTCAAGTTATTAGGCTGTTCAGTATGTCTGACAGAAAGTGTTTTTTCAGTTGTGAAAGAATATTTTCTGGTTTTCCCTCTGATGTCCTCCAGCTTCTCTGGCTCAACTTTCTATTATTAATGGACTTCTTTTGGAAAGATAGCTTTACTTGTTGCTAAAGTCGCTAACTGCTAGCTAATGCTGTTGAGCCAACTAGCTAGCGGCAGCTGCAGGTAGTTAGGGGCTAAAGTAGAAACTGTAAATTATTTCAACATTTTTGGGGTGTTTTTATTGCCTTTCATCAATAGTGAAAGTTGTAGAGTGAAAAGAAAGGGCCACGCGTCGGATTCGAACCCATGGCCATTGCACCAAGAACTAAGCCTTGGTAGATGTGGCATCAGCTCCATCAGGTGCGCTAACAGGGCACCCCCAAAAGTGTTTTCTCCATAAAAAAATATGATCCAGTTTCACCAAAATCAGGGAATAAAGTTTCTTCTCCGGCGGCATCTATCGCAGCCTAATTCTTGTCTTGTCTTGTCGTTGAGCACAGCGACAAGAGGATGAGGCAATGCTCACTGCACTGGCTACCAGAAGTTGGCCAATCGGAAGAAAGTATAAGTCAGAATAAAAACATAGAGCTGGAATCGAGCATAATGCATTGTAGGTCCCCTTAAACGTTTTAATGGTAATAACATAACAGACACGACTGTATGATCAAAAATTAAACAGCAAAGCATTCAACCATTGAACAGTGTACAGGGTTCAAAGAGTCAAAAAGCTGTTTTGTTATGGACGATTAATTGTGCAGCTCAATTTTGTCCTATAATCCTTATCTCCACGTTCTCTGAAGTATGCCGAGTAAAAGGTAAGATCCTGAGCACAAAGTACTGATAGGAGAAGAAAAACAAGTTAATGACAAAGACAAAGGGAGCAAATTGCGTGGGAGAGTGTTTGTATGGATCCTGTCATTGATCAGCCAAAGCGGGCCACGGGACTTATCTCCCAGGACAGGCCCAAGACTGAGTGACGAGCCTGCAGAACATCAATGTCTGGCAGCCTCCGTTTAGCAGTAGCCCCTAGTTTTAACTCAAACACATTGATCTCCCCTGGCAGAAGGAGCAAAGCAAGATAGCAGGTAGATGCAAGCAAAGACATCACAAAATATAGGACCCTGCTGTAGCTTGATCACTGCAAAGTCAGAACAACAAGAAAACAAAAAAGAAAAGAAAAACAAGAAAGACCTCCAAAAGACATTGCAGTACAAACATTGCTATTTACGGTTTATGATAATGTGCCACTTTAAAAAAAATACAGTATCCTCTCCCAGACATCTGTTTTTCTACTCTGACTTTTTAAACTCATGCAGTATTCCCTTTTGTACTGCAATACAACTGCTTAAACTTGTGAGAGCTACTCCCTTTGTAAAGATACTTATTGGAGACAGAGAAAGGCAAAACTACAAATACAGCTAATACATTATTATGATACTAGTTAAAAAGGACTATAAGTTAATGTCAATGAGGGAACGGATTTATAAGCATACAATAGGATGGAACAACCCACACGCTCAAACACACAGGGAGGAGGAGAGTGAGTGGGCACCCCAGACATCTCAAAGCAAGCCACCAAATAATCTTTTCTGTTTTTTTTTTCTATCTGCTGAATACAAAGGGTGGAATTGGCCTGCTCATAGGTTGGCACTGTGCCGTCTCAAATGCCAGGGGCGCACATTTTTCCCTCTACGATATATTGTGGTAGGCTGATTTATGAGCTCTTTCAAGCTGCAGCGATTATGTGTAGCAAGGGGGGAGGGCTAGGCATAACAACCACGAGGGTTTGTAGCGCTCATCTCCAGGATGAAATGTAATCCGCTGAACGCAGGAGGAAGCTGGGATAACGCCCGATCTCTGTGTCTATAGTCCTGGAAGCCTTTGTTTACCTGGACAGCAGAGGCCCTAACCACCCAAAGCTCATTTTGCATGGTATATCACATTCATTAGAGGCCAGGCAGAAAAACAGACATGGCTTCAAGCTGCAGCAACACATAAAAAGAAAAGATATAAAACCATGCTGCTGTGGGGAATGTGGAAATCATCTGGCGACAAACAAAAGCAATATCATCCTTTATTCTCTATTTTTATTTATTTTACATGTCCAGGATTTCTCTTCTCTTTCTAGATTCTTTTGTTTTGTTCCCAACTCTCTTGGATACAGATCCTGACTTTTTTTTTTTCCTTTGCTGGGCAAGCTTGGCTGGATGGACAGCTCCCTCAACCCGAATCCTCATTAGCACTTCTACTGCAGGCAGGATTCATCTGACCCAGTGTTTGTGTTCCAAATTAGCTCAAAAGTCACATGAAGGGCACGCTCATGAAGTGAAATTCGTGGGTGGGAGAGACAGCGCTATTTGGAAGGATAGAGCTAATGTGCTTAGCTGTATTTTGGGGATGCATAGCTCTTTATAGCCTGAGCTGAGCAGTTTTCAGAGCAAGAAGATGAAAAATTAATTAGAAGGACCAAACTGAGGGTGGAAGGCAAGGTAAAAACATAAACTTATCCTTTGATAATCCTGTGAAGGTGTCCTGTTTCATTCCACGTCCAAGACTTCTTACCATTCAAATTCAAACACTCATTTCAGCACCTCTGCCTTACTCTGCAACCTACATCCATCCATTTCATCCAGTCTTCATCCCTTCTGTCATCACTCTGTTTCTTGGTTTGAACTGCTTTAGTCCCATGCCAAATTTTCTTTCTCTTCCCTAAGCCTTTGCAGAAGTTGTTTACGAAAAGCAGGCAGGGTGTTGGATGGCTTCCAAACTTGGTTCCAGTGCTCAGCTGAGCAGCACAAATGAAAACGAATGAGGTTAGCAGTCGAGCTGATTCCTTGAGGTAAGACTATCACTCGCAGAAAAACGTGGCTGGATCACACACAGTTGGAAGGCACCAAAGCACATGAACATGCCCTATCTCTCTGTTTTACTGTCTCCTATACAATTACATGCACACACACACACACACCATACTGAGGTGCCTATTTTGACGTCTGCCTAAGGTCTTCCACAAGAACATTTTTAATTGAGAATACTGTAACATGATTTCTTCCGAACATCTACACTTAATTAGTTTTATTTTCATGAATTATAGAGCAAAACAATCCAAAATACTTCTTTCTAAGTTCAAATATAGGTCAGGAGTGTAGCACCGCGGCATATTTTGGGTTTAAGAGTAAATCATATGATAATGTAACATGGAGTTGCAACTGAATACTGTCGATTGTCTCTTCTTTCTGCCGTCTGTATCTCCCCTTTAGCTTCAGAATTCCTGCCAGGCTGAATCCGACAGCAGAACTCTTGTTGCAGATGCAGTAAGCTTTGCTCTTCCCTAACATGCACCTCTAGCGTGTCCCTCACCACACTTCTCCCCTTTTCTCCCTCTCTTTGGCTCCCCAGAGAACAGAATAACTTGTTCGGCATAGGTAGGCATGGTCATGATGGGCATGCATGATTGACAGAGTGAGGAGAAACACTGGAGGAAGAGACTAATAAGAAAGAAAACAGCGGAGAGTGAGTAGGAGAGAATAAAGGCCAAGGAAGAGAGGAGACAGCTGAGGACTTCAAAGGTTTCTCTGACCTTGCTGAGCATTTCTGAGGGGAGGAAATCAATAGGCAATGGAGTCTGGGTGTAAGCAAGAAGGGCAAGGCTAGTTTCAGTCTAGAGGGCTTGGGGATCAGAATGATTCCGTACATTTCACTGTCTAAGCCCTGCACACTTACAGTATCGTACAATAACCTTCTGTGTGCAGGAAGAGGCATTGCAACATTATAGAGCTGCCTTTATCTCAAGGGCCAAGCGTTTACGGGCCACTGGCGTTCTGCAAAGCCATCAAACTTTATGCTAGATGGTGAAGCAAGTGCGGCTTGTGTACCACACAGAAAGCACATGTGCAAAATATCAGTAATACTTCAACAACTTCCGAAAAAAGGAGAGGGAGGCAAGGACATGTAGTGAAAAAGCAGCGAGTGATCTGTCTGATAATATCCCTGCTGCAATATTCATCATAGAAAGCAGCAGGCTGCTAAAATTGCCTTATTTGAACTGATAGCGTCCAGCGTTGTATTGTAAAATGACAAGACGACATTTCTTATTACTTTAAAGATTTCGAAGCAATCATTTTCCCTAATTTGTGACTATTGATCGGACAAGGATAGCATTCAATCTGAAAGGGAAAACCAGAAGGGAAAAAAGGCTGTAAGACCCTAATCAATATTTCATCCCTATGCCTTAGTATTCATTAAACCAGCTCGTGGATCAGTCACCCGTTAAGCACATGGGATGCACCAATATCAGTCCCATTAAACTGTCCTTTGCGGTCCTTACTTTTCCTGCTATTAATACTCCATATTCTCTTCATTTTCTTTACATTTTCTTGGTGCTCTTTTAACATTTTTTTTCCCACACAAACCAAGACATGCTCCAGTCTTCAGTCCCCCAAACTCCTCCAAACCGTCCTCCTAAATGTACACACCCACACAGAGACACAAAAACAAACACACTCTCAGAGCAAAGGACACCAATGCACCATGAAGCAGCATGAACAGAAGAATAAAAACAGGTCTGTCAGCAGTATATGGTTCTTTGTGTTAAGAGTCAGAGCATTGGTCACTGTTCTTATCACATAAACACACACTCGTAGCCACGGTAGGGTTTGGTAAAGAACTGGCAGTGTGTGGAGCCTTGATATCTAAATCATAACCGATCTGTCTCAGGAGTCTTTTTAGCTGTTTCCACCCTTGCTGTTGAGGAGAGCTTTGTTGTTGTTGATAAGCATTTAGCAGCTCTTTTGAACTCAGTATCTCATGGGCATTTTTTGGAGGTCAGTACACAGCAAAAAAACAAAAAGCACCATTGATGTTGCTCCAGGCTTTGGCTGTATTGCGAATGCAGAAAGCAATAGTGTGATATAATAGAGTAAGCCAATGAACTTGATTTATTTTGCTCCTAATTGTTGTGAAGCGCTAACAGGATCAATAAACAGTGCATCAGGTAATGAAAACTTCAAACAGTTATTTCCCGCATTGTTATGAACTATTAATAGACTTTTAAACTGGCAAAAAATCAGCCACGAGTGATTAAATAAAACAAGCCAGGAGTTAGAGCTACTACTTGGAAGTACACTGTGTACTTCACACAATATGCAAATAGGTCCAATAGGTTTTGCCACAAACATTATGGCATAAAAAAACTTTACTTAATGGCCCACAATCACAGGTTTAGTATGTCTACGACTGTTGAACACTTTCAACAAAGTGATTTTCCTTTCACAAATGCTTAAATGTGTAGCTCGAGTAAAGAAGTGTCATCAAGTCAGTGAACTGACACGGAAATGTCAGTTACGCAGCAATATTCATCTAAAGTTAGCTAAACCCCAGGAGTGTATTGAATTGAGCAACGGTTCATTTTATTGTTGAATTCAACATCTCATTTGAAGTGGAAGATGTGTTATTTCTCTTTTCAAAAGTAACACAGCCTGAAAGCTAGAAGGATTCTGTATTTCACAAAAAAAGGAAATGCGGGGAAGAAATTACATTTTGGGTAAAAGAAAAATGTTATTTTTGTTTGTTCACTTATCCTAAATTATCATCATGTGACCCTTCAGATTTAGCCTGCGACTCTCTTGCCACTCAAGGTGGAAACCATCTCTCTAAATAAAAGAGAGGCTCAACCAGAAACCTATTTGTGACTGGAAAGCAAGTTTTTTTTTTTTTTCTTACAGAAAATGTGGTCTTCTGAATGCAACCACAACATAAAAGACAGACAATGTTATTTAGATACTGATCAAGAAGCAAGACAGGCAATGTAGCCTTGATTCAATTAGAGACATGTTGACGTGCTAACTTCCTGAGCCTTCTAAAATGAGCAGCCCTTTCGTATGGCTGGTCTTTTGATCCTTAAGAGCCACTGGCCCTGCTGCTGGCCCCTCGAGGAGTAAAAGTTGAACTTGCACAGAAGTTTTTTAGTGTGTAGAATTCCACACAGGCCATGGCCTCAGCCTGCAGGACCGCCAGTTCAGACCACTCATTTCTTTGAAAAGTACTTCCGTCTTTTCTCTTTGTCCCAGCTGCATTTGGGTCCCCCCACCAGTCTTTGATTCCTCACTTCTTGCTTTATACATCATGTCCACTCACCCTTTTGGCCCTACTATGTAGCTCTCCTCTCTTGCCTGCTCATGCTCTGCCCAGACAAGGGCAAAGAGGCTAATCCTGGCTCTGAGGCCCAGCATGCTCAGTAAGTTCTCCTCCTTCTCTCCTCTGTCAGTATCCATTTCGTCCAACACCCTCCAAGGCTGTCGTTATGGACATCAGAGAACAGCCTGGTGCTTTTGACCTCTTTGTGTGAGGAATTAGTCAGCAGTCTGTCTCTGAATTTTTGCTTGAAGACCACTCAGAAGTGCCAACAAGAATACATACAAAGATGCACACATAGAAAAGATGCTCAGTACTTGAGATACTGTAAAAACTACTGATATGTTTTAATCTGAAATTCACTTCTGAGATTCATGTGGAGCAAAGCAGAGGTTACACTCCATAAAACATTGGACTTGATAAAAAACGATCTGTAGGGGGGTCCTGGCCTTGCACTGCAGGACAGTAATACAATAAGCTGCATCTTTAATGCAATAAGACTTGGCTGGCGATATTGCCTCTTTTCTCTCAGCCCAGACTGTTTTTTAAGACCTAGCAAAATGTATTTACATGACTCAAGTTGACCTCCGTGCTAGAGGGGACCGGAAGAACAAACAAACAAGAGAAGAGCAGTGGGGCTTGGGAAGAAGGGAGAAGCCTGTCTTTTCTAGGTGAATAAACATTCCCTGACCATTCAAGAAACAATTCCTGGCCCATGAGGCGTAGCAGGCTGGGACACATCTACAATAAGTAAATAAATACAGGATGGAGACAAGCAAATGTAGACCAGGTTTGCATGATTCTCTGCTGATAGTCATTACCCACTGATAGTGCTGGAACAAAATATAGTCAGGTCAACCGAAAATGTAGAAATATTTTTATTTTTCTAAGGCAAAATAACTCCTGGTAAAAATCTAAAACTCTAAAGTGTCATTGTAAGTTCATGTGTGGGTGGTTATGTCTTGCAAAACACTTTTTTGTACTGATTGGACCGATGCACCCCAGTATGTGCAAGTATGTTTGTTGGTGCTTTTGCAAAATCTGAGTTTTTGTACAGAGTCAAAGGAAAATTGATCTTTATATGTTTAATCATATAATTTGCAAGTCCAAATTGATTCGTATTCCTTTGTGTCTACCCGTTAGCTACATGGTTTCCAAAAACAAAATTCTCATTAATGAGACACAGGGGAAATGTCATCACATATGACCTTTACCTCAGGCTCTGCATAAGTATTCCTTGGATTAGTGACACAACAGCATAGTCTTACAGGGGATCCATCCTCTAGCTTCATGTGGTAAAAATAGAGGTGGTTTCTGGGCGAAAGTTTTTATATGTTCACACACACAAGTTATTGTGTGTATATGCATGCATGCAAGGTGCACGCTACGCATGCGTAAGAGGTGAAAGAAGATGGACTAATTGAGGGAAAAAAGTGGTTAAAAGAAAACCTTAGGTTGTAAAAGGTAAAAGACAGTCAGTCAAATAGCAATATTTTACTAAATAAAAGCATTTCTGAGGGGTCTGCATTAAAAACAGCTCAATGACAGAAGGAGAAGAAGCAAAATCAACAAACAAATATATATAAGACTGTGAGTGTGTTCTCTGTGTGCGTGTTGAGAGTGTGTGTTGTCTGTGAGGGGGGTGTCTAATTATGATTCTACTTGCAGAGAATTCAGTTCTGCAGTCTCAAAGTTTCCAGGCATTGTGTTCTCCTTAGATAATAGACATCCAGACAGTACTCCTGCTGTAGCCATCATAATGAGTCCTCCTTTCAACCTCCTCTTTTCCCCTTACTCCCTTGTTCCCCCCTCCCTCTGTCTGTCTTTTCTGTCCCTGCAGAGCCCCTAATGGAGTCAGAGGTTTGTCTGGGGATTTTTGTGAAGAAGTCGCCGGAGATATCGACTGACAACTAGCCTTCTACTTGAGGATAATAAGGCCCACTTATGCCAGAACAGATAATGTAGACGTTGACAACAAACACAAATAGACCTCTGACAACCAGAGAGGCAGGCTGAGTGTGATGTTTTATGATAACTTTTATCTTTAGCAGTATAGCATGTACTGTCAGCAACACACCAAAAAATCTGGCTTGTTGGTATGTTGAAAGTGAGTACTTGAGGTGTATTTTAATGATCAGATGAAAAAGCAACACTTAATAATGATGATGCAATTAGTCTAAATGCATCAGAATATTATTTTTACAGGACTGACAGTTACTGGCAGTTTAAGGCCATTGAATGTTGAGAATCTGGGGCACAGAGCCCATGCATCTAAGTAGTTTATTAATGCAACAGAAATTACAGGGATGTCAGTAGTAAATGTGTACTAAGAATACAGTCTAGGACACCTCTTGAAATGTTCCTATGTATATATAACTTAAAGTGACCAAGGTATTACAAACTAAGAAGATTGATGACTACAACGTGGGCTGTGTGGGTCCGGCATGCCATGGGACACAACTTTGTCAAGAGAACAGTGACTGCTGCTGGAGGAGGAGAGTAGGAGAAAGGAAGAAAATGAGAGAGGTGACAGAATGGAGGACAAACCACATGTTAATTTTTTTTTTTGGCAGGGAACTAGCTGTGTAAAAAACATTCTTTGCAAGAAGAGGGTTATGCTTTTTCTAATTGAAAACAAGTCCCTGTGAAACAAATTACAAGCCAAAAGCCAAAAATAATCGGACGAGATAAAGAAAACGGGAGTGCGAGACAGTTAAAGAGATGAATATATCTAGAGATGGGGGTTTCCATTCAGTGTGGCAGGGCCTCAAAGTCAATCTTCATCAGCAATCCCATCTTTGCGTGAAGCTTCGGCTGAGACGGGGGGGGGGGGGGAAACAGAAAGATCAAAGCCCACTAAAAGTGAGGATCAAAAACTATTACTGTAGCCTTACAGTAGAATTATGCATGCACTGCTATTCCTGTGCGCAGTAGTAATCGGCCTTTGCTTTGATGGTATTAAGTTTTGCCCCAGTGCTAAACTGGGGCCGAGGGTCTGGCAGGGGGAGGGGGAGGAGGAGGGGTGTGAGCTGTCAGAGAGAGAGAACCGAGGAATGAGGAGGGAAGCTCATTTAAGTTGGCAGAGAATTAGGTTTAAATGGCCCTTATGGCTCTATGGATATGGACGGGAGAAGATGTTGGATAGCAAGAGGAGTTCAGGAGTTGAGAAGCCATGACTCTAAATAGGCTATCTGGCTTCATTGCCTTAATGCACAGCTCAGGGCTGAAAAAAAAAAAAAAAAAAAAAGATAATGGGAGTCTAAATTGGACTTACGACAGCCTTTCTCGTCGCTTTTGTCAAAGCAGTCGGGCAATCCGTCACACTGCCAACCACCTGGGACACACTTCCCATCTCCACACATGAAGTTTCCAGGGATGTTGCACTCTGTGGTGAAGTTATTCCCTGGGAGCAGCTGGCTCTCTGATTGATAAACAGAAGAATGACATGGGGGGGGGGAACAAGAGAGAGAACAGACTGTTACAATCTCACTCCATAAAGAAATCAAACAGGTAGAAGGATATTGCATTCCAGCGATATCCATCACCACAGTCAAAATTAGCAGATCATTATTATCTCTATTCTCTAAAGATAGAATATTAAAGGCAGTGGCTCTATTTAAAAAGCAGAAGAGGTCATTCAGTGTTAACAGTATTGTGGGTGTAAGGATCAGTTTAGAGCTGGGAAGTATCACAATTGTTCGGATAAAGACAGAAACACCAAAGAAAACAAACACAATACATACAAACAAAGCACATATTTTCATACTGTCTTGGACATACAGTAGATGCACAGATACACACACACACTGGCCAGAAATAAACACCCTCAGCAGAAAGCCCTGAACTACTGCTGGGCACTTGAAGTTGACGCAGTGCAGCCGCGGAATAATGGGCTGGAATGTGAAACATGGCCTATTGGCTGAGGCTTGACACTATGCGGTGAGCTGTTTAGCTCGTAAACATAACTATAGGGCAGTAATGAGGAGCTCTGGTCCGACCGGGGGGACACTTTCATTCTGCAGCGCTGTAACTGGGTTCAGCTGGTAGACCACTTCATCACTTGAGAGTGGGACGCAGGAGGTGTACCTGCTGCCAAGAGGTGTAACCTTCTAGCTTTAAGTGATGGTGTGGTTAACCAGTAACGTGACTGATTGGTTCATACTATAGAGCTATCTTTCTTACACCACTACAATTGTAAAGGGCAGTGATGTGAACATAAAAAAGGTGCAACACTGAACATTTTTGCTACATTCATATTATCATTATGAACTGAACTGCACTAAACGTTGGCTTCATTACTTGAGACAATTTAGAACAAGGATGGGATAGCCTCTACTATAACAGGGGACAGAATGACACATGTGGGTTTTACAGCTGACTACAATATGAGACTGTCTATAAACCCCATCCCAAACCAGACAATTCAAAGGCGAGGTGAGTTGGTTACAATATGTCACCACCCCTAGATGCCACTACATCCTACACAAAGGTCCTTTAAATATTCCTTATTATAGGTTATTTGTTGAAGAAAGCATCCTTCTGAGTACCTTTGCATAGTATTGTCGGTCCAGCTCAAAAAATCACTATATTCACTGTAGGGGTTGCGCTATGTTAAAAAATAAGAAAGGAAAAGAAAATATAGAAAACACATGAAACAACCGTACACCTTCCGAATTCAAGTTCTAATAATAATAAAAGTAATTCTATTATCTTAATATTAAACTTACTCGAATTAAGACTATAGCTTAATATCCTTATTAACTCATCAGAAAACACACTTCATTCAAACTCAACAGAAATAATACACAACAGCAGCAATCAGCAACTCTTGTGTCTAACCGTCTAACCGAGTTAGATCTGGCTCTACACACCATTGTTGCCTCTCTAATTGTCGACCTCCCTGTCGCTCCTCTCCCACTCCCACTGTCCCGGCCCATCCCTGCCACATCCTCATTTTCTCCAGAGTCTTGGTTGGTCTGTGAATCACATTGTTACTGTACTCCCTGTCGTCAAACTAGCCAAAATAAACACTTAATTCACCCTAGTTAGATGTGAAAATATTACTCTCAGCTCTACTGCTGTTTTTCCTCACTCGTTCTTCAGTTCAGTGTGTGTACTGCACCGCTGAGCAGCGGCTCTCGTTCTTCGAAGGCAGACCATTAAATTAGCAAAATAAGATGAAAAAAATAGTCCAAAGAAATGGACTCCATATTTGTGCACTCGCCCAGCTGTACTATAATCGGTATCTGTCTGCGCTAGTTGGAGCTTATATTTTCCATGAGTGTTAAAATGATTCCTAAACCCCACCCGCCCAAAACTCAAAAGGCCTGTTTATGCTGTACACATCAGTATCCTTTTGTACCATAAATCAATTAGCACATTGCCTGCAATGCCAGATCTGCTGATGACATGTCATATTTCAAAGGGATGCATGGAGAAGAAAAATATCCTACAATAGTGCAATTTGAAAAGAAGATGTTGCTTTTGTTTGTCCAATATTTCCAAATAAAACACATAAATGAATTCACTTTGTTTAGAAGAAACAGGGTTTGTTTTCTCTCTTTAATCATCACAGGCACACATTCTCAGCAAGACATTACTGAGGGACCCATTGAACTCCAATTCAAATAGAAAGATTTGACCTTGCTTACGAATTCATAACTAGAGCTCACAAGTTCAACACAGTTGATATTCACTTTGTAAACGTAGAGTACAGCTGAGGAACTGACACACAGAAATCATCTGTTCTTACATCATCCTTCTCTTGCTGCCCTTTTTTAATTTTACCCCAGCAGGTTGTGGAAACCCTGTATGGATCCTCTCTCAAATGAGACAGCACGACCCTTCTGATCCTCTGTGGGGATGATGCAAACTGCTCTTTTGTCTCTTGCAATATAGAAAAGGGGAAGTGAGGGATAAAGAGAAAAAGCTCTTGTAATAGTGAGGAATGGAAAACATTTCCATTTTCCTTTCTCTCATTGGTGGCAGGCAACGGTTGATGAATACATGCAATTACTTATACATATTAATGATTATTACCTTGACAAAAATTTAACAAATAGTAGCCTTTTGTGCCTGCTTCTTAGTTCAAGTTTCACCTGTGTGGTATAATATTCCAGTAAAGAGAATAACACCAGTCCCAATGGTGCTGCAGAGACCAGCCTCCTGGATATATAAACAGCCATCCAAGTACATTTGAAAACCAAATGTCAATTTTTTGCAATCTATCTGAGACAACACCACCATCTTCACACTCAATCTCCCCTGGTTCTTCCCCTCCCATCCTTGTTTGTTCGGCTCTTTCACACATGCACACTTCTTAGGGAAAGAGAGAGATAGAGATAGAAAGGAGCAACAGTAACGTTAGAAGGCGTAAACGTAGACTGTAGAGTTTTTTACAAGCCAAAGCAGTTGGAAAGGCTTTAGATACACTTAGACTAATAATTGTGCTATTTTAACTGAAAAATGTACTTTTTCAAGGAAAGAACATGAATATGTGTGCAACATATTTATTACAATTAACATATTATTACAAAGCTGACACTTTTGTTGCCAGTTGTTGACATCTTTCCCTCTTTTTTCGTGACTGATTAGGATGAAGTTCACATGACATAAAATCGAAATATTGCAAATCCTAAGCTACTTTCTTGTTTACTAGGTCTGTCTGACTTGTTCTTCATAATGTCGTCATACTGTGTTTACTTCTTACACTAGACTATAGATCCCTCAGCAGCCGGCAGCTTTTATGAGGGTTTAGAGATCCACAAACCTATACGCAGACAAGTGTGATTAGGGCAATGCAACGTCAAACAACACAACTAAGCAAAATACCACGCAAATGTCTTTTCAGACCCATACAGAATGAGGATAGAAGGAAGACATGTAAAATGACTTCAAAGCGCTGGTGGTTTGAAAGGCATCAGGTTAATTGGCAAGTTGCTTTGAGAGCATGAGAGAGAAAGAACAGAGAGAGGACTGTGTGTGTTGTGTGTGTTTGAGAAATGGCCAAAAAGAATCAAGAAAGAAGGTTGACAGACAGCTCATCTTTTCCCATTAGTCTCTAACACAACCAGTGGCAAACTTTTGCATCACTTCTTGCATCCAAGTTGTGGGTTCCTCTTTTGGCAGGCTTGACACATCTCATTGCTGTTCTCTTGTCATTCTATCGATAAAATAATAACCCTGAATACTTACAGTGGTTTACCGTTGAGGTAACGAACAAGCCCACCTCATTACCACAGCAACTGTGGCTATACAGCTCATTACAGACTGCTCCATGAGCTTGTTAACAGAATAATACGTCACTGCAGTTCTCTATGGGCACTGCAGCACACCAAGGTGGCCTGGAGAATTTTAATGGACATGACAATGTCCACTCTCTCATTCACCCCATATGCTTTTAACTATTATGTTGAGGATAGCCTGAGGGCAGCATATGCGCAGCTGCACAACACTGCTGTGTGCAACTGTGGTCACACAGTGAGTGTGTGAGGGAAAACTGGAGGAGATAAGACAGGGATGACGCTAGGTTCCTGTGTATCTTGCTGAGGGAAGTGTAGACCAATTACTCAGAGTAAATATTGACTATACTATCCTTGCCTTTGCACACCCATCCTCTGCCTTCCACCCTTTCCCACCATCTACCATGCCTGTGTCACCTAAGACCTTATTTAGACTGATAAAGGGTAAAGCGTTTTTCAGGCATTAGTCGCATACTTTTTTAATTAGCATTTACATTTTCTGTTTGTGCTACTTCCAATAAGTTTTGCTGGTTCACTCTGGGTGAAATTCTTCCCTTCCATTCCCATTTTAGCTCACTAGAGTGCACCTCTCGTACCTCAATTATAATTTGAAATAAAAATTAACTCCCAGCATAAACACAAGTCTAATTTCCCAGTGGTTCTGAATAATACTGAAATCTTATATGGAATATTGTTTGCAATATTTTATAAAGGCAAAATAATAATAATTTTTCCTTGTTGAGTCAAATGTGGCATGCAGCATGGGCACAGCTGCTGTGCTACTATTATATACAGAAAATAAAGGTACTAATGAAAGCCAACAGCTTTCATATTTACATAAAGTTTTTAAAAAAAGCCTCTTCAGACATGTTTTAAGACACAAAAATACTGCACTGAATAATAATTTTCTACTTCACTGAAAAGTCAATTCTCAGTATATGTGTACTGCAGGTTTCAGTGTTCCACATCACACCTCTGTAAGCTGCATATTGAATGTTTGCCTTCCAAATTAGTGATAATGTCAGAATCCTGCTGGTACATGCGTATGTTAAATTCAGATTTAAGATGAGCACAGCAAAACTTCCACCCTTCAGCAGCTGAATGTGAAAACGGCCACCTAATATTAAACTCTGCACATACATACAAGCTAAACAGATAAGGTCAAACATCCAAGAGAACA